TTGTTTTCGTAATCATTTTTCGCAAGGTGTTCGTATTATTTCCTTCGTTTCCATTCCTTTCTGTCACAACTTGTGATATCCTGTCTCTGCAAATGAAGTTGAATTTAATGGCATTCAGTTTGATGCCTTATTATTTGTTATATTTATTATGGGAATGGCTTAATTTAGTTCAAAGGTGTGAATGACGCATTGAATTTCTTGTCCTTCTTGTCTGTTAAGCTTGAGACAATTTTTTTTTATTAAAAAGAAGTTTTTATAAAAAATTGCTAAATAATGTCAGAAAGTCTCTTAAGAGTACGATAAGGGTTAAAATAATATAAAAGTATTTGAAAGGGATGTACAATTTTTGTAGTTGATGAGGATTTAATTTTTTACATAGATTGTAGTTTTTTCAGTGTCTGAAAGGAATACATTCCAACCAAAATTTATAATCTGTAAGAAAAATATTTCTTGTTGATTTTAGTTTTAAAATTGAAATAGAGATGTAACTACGATTAAAACAGATTTACTGTTATGCATAATTTAGAAGTAATTCCTCAGTTCAGGTGGAAACTCTAATTGATATTCAATTCTTTTCATAACATTTATCTATCCAAAAATAAAATTATACATTTAAATAAATTATAAATTTTTAGATTTTTAATTATAAATAAATAAATAAATGAATTACTAAGTCAAATCTTTCATAAAATTAGGTCAATAGAAGTAACAAATCCAAAACAATTCTGAGACATTAAAAGTATATTTAGACACTGATTTTAACAAAATTAAGTAAATCTACTTACAATAAACGATGTAAGTGTTTTGTATTCTGGCGCTCCTTTTCTTAAAGATCAATTAGCGTTACATCTGCTATTACAAAAACTGCTTCCGCCGAAACATTACGGTGATATATAGTTGAGCTCCCAACTTTTTAATCACAACTATATATCACTGTACTGTCTCAGCGGAAGTAGTTTTTGTAACAGTAGGTGTAACTCCAATTGATCTCAAAGAAAAAGAGCGCCATGGAGTATACAGCGAGAAAATTACTGTCAACTATATTCAACAAGATCAGAAGCAAACCATTGAAATGTGACAACATAGATACAACAATAGCACTCAAGGAAGATGAATAGCTCGACTAATACTAAATATAATCATCTTGCACAAATGGAAATCGGGAGTCACAGATTACTATCTCACGCAGGTGTTGTGCAGACATGAATATTTTTGCGATTGCCTGCACCACATGGGAAAAGCGGTTCCACCCGACTGCATTTATGGCGACGGAGACTGTGGTGACACAGAGCACACCTTCTTTTACTGTAATAGGTGGCTTACAGAATAAATATAATAGTTCAGAATGGACCAAAAAATCACGAAAATATAGTAAAATAGATGAGAATAAATCCAGTGGCGTGCGATAAAGTCGTATGTGATTCAAGTCCTCAAAGTGGAGAAATTAGACCTTGGAAAGAGAATCAGAAACTAGGAAAATAAATAGTGCAGATACCAAGAAAATAAAAGTGGAAGTCTGAATGCAAATCGAAAATCACTAAAGCATGGTTTGGAATGCCAATATAAAAGAGACCTTCTTCAAAGTAATGCAAAAGCGGTTTAGAGGGGGAATAAGTTTCTCCGATGAGGGAGTGCTTTAATTCGTATATTAGATATTAATGTTATGATGTCGGGCATACTGTTCCAGTAACGATCGGTCTAACGGTGTATAAAACATTCATCACATAAATAAAACACTATGTCACCGTATCGTATGTGGGTGTTCATTTGGATAGAAAACTAGTTTGTGGCAAATATCTTAAGTCTGAACGAACACAAATTAAGCTGAAGGCACAAAAAGTTTATTGGTTATTAAGAAAAAACTCCAAGTTACGTCTAGACTATAAATTGCTACTCTATAAAAGGTTACTTAAGTCAATCTGGAACTATAGCGCTGGACTATGAGGCGCCATAGTTTTATACATATAAAAACATAATTAACTTCTTGCGTAAGAATAATTATTTTAGAACGAGTTTGTAAAGTTAAGATCTAGTTATGGTCCTTACGAACTCAGTAGGATTCAGTAAGTAATTCATCCACAACTCATATAAATTTTTGCGTATGAGAAAAAATAAATCATAAAAGCAAGTAATATAACCCGTTTGGATATTTCAAAAATGATTGAATGGACTGCTTCATCCGTCCGTATACTAATCTAACAGTTACTGTACTGCAGAATATTATTTTTCTATGCGATGATGTGAGCAAAACAGTTGAAGTATCAGAAGAGCACAATAGTGTTATCTTAAGCACACAGTGTTATCAGTAAAATTAAAAATGAAATATTCATTCTGGTTAACAAACCATAGTGAAATTTTGTTTGGTAGTAAAGTGCATTGGTACCAACTTTATATGTTTATTTCCTAATATTTTGGTGATTATGTGGCGTAAAAAATTTTATTGGATAGTTGTGACAATTTTTGAACAAACTTCTAAACAATCTAAATACATTTTTAGAAATATTGCATAGGCTTGCAGTTTTGTCAATAAGTTAAATAAAACCCAACTGAAAAATCTTCTGCATTAATTTAATATACTTATATTCTACATTTAAATGCATATATGTTTATATAGAAATTAATGCAAAGACTTTACTTGAGCTTATCTGCACTCTCTAATGACATTTGCATTTTGTTAGGAATATTTTGATTATAACATGTTCAGAAACCTTCAAAGGACTTTCAAATAGCAATTTTCCTTCAAATGAAAATTTTCAATTATTTTAATACTTAAGATAAAGACTATAAGGAAAATCCTGCTCTTGAATAATTTTCTTTGACGGAATTAGATAAGCTTAACTTCTCGTACGCCAAGCACTTTCAAACTTATGACAGCATTGCAGCTTTAAAATTTTTGTCAAATAACAAACAAAAATAATTAACAAACTTTTTCGAAAGAACGAGCAATTTGTAGAAATCAGCTGCAACCCATTGAACTAAGACTTAAACCAGAAACCACTGAGTACAAGTCAGGCACATCTTTCCTCCATGCTCTCGCAGGCTAGTCGTGAAAGTGAACGGAATTAAATTGGGCGCGCGCTTTTTGGAATGGAGAAACTTTTTCATTTGCAGTTTTAAGTTTAAGTTTGCTAATGCGACACGTTGGCCTTATTTGGAACCAACAGTTCAATGCTGCCAAAGCTACTGGAACTTATGCTTCCGCTTCATCTTTCAAGAGCTTAGCTATTTGATTATTTGTCTTGTATTTCCGGTCGTTAAGTGAACCAAAGTTATGTGAGTATAATGAGCAAACGGTTTTATCTTAATGTGCACTTACAGTCGAGCTTATATTTTTAGTAGTCACTCGTACTGCCGATGCAAAAACTCTTTTGCAAAGTCTTCATAAACATAAATTCATGATTTATTTGTAGTTTGAGAATTTATAAATAAACAACAACACAAGCAGTCATTCAATCCTATGTGATTTGTAGATATAAAATATTTTGTTTACTTAAGTTTTTCTTGTCTTATGATTGTATTGTATTCGGCTATGTTGCATTAAGCAGAGTGCCAACTTATAACAAAAGTTTTGCATTCGCTTCAATAGAAATCAAGGATGCACTGCTTTCAGTTTTATTTTTTATGACAGGAACAAAAGTTTCTTTATACTTCCATTTACATTTCATGCCATTAGCATTTATCTTATGAGATTTTAGATTTTTTACGAAGATTGGCAGTGATATTGCACTAACATATTATTTATTTAGAGGTTGGCTGTGAAATCACACTAAATAATTTTAATAATAATTATAAAAACATCAAAAATGTTTCACTAAAATCAACTGTCTATAAAGTCTTTGTCTTTATCTTCTCCCATCAGCATATGGGTTAAAATATTCCCCAAGCAAGGCACACCTATTGTAAGAAGTGAATAAAATCCAGCAGCCACCATCCCGTACTCTATTGTTGTATAACTGGAAGCGTATTGGTTTTTACTCAACGTATCACAGCGAAGTTAAAATCTGATACCACGGAATGCAACTGGCCGCATTTATGGTTGTTCTGAGTGAGTTCTGTTAGGCTGTGTCTGGGTGTTAACATCTTAAATTTCATCGGAAAAGTGTTACGTTTGTGAAGTTATCTTTTAGTGCTGTGATTGAGAGAAAGGGGTTGGAATATTTTTGTAGTAAGTCATACCTGTCATAAAAATAGACTAAAGTCCATTAGGCACCAGCCAATTCCGTGCGTGAGTTTCACTTGTGTTTCACAATAGACAAAAGACGTATGTTATGGTTAGGGTATGTACTTTAAATCTTGGTAATCTGTGCTTTTCATTACTTGCCCATACCGATGGAAATGGTTTTCCTTCCGGTTAGAAGACAGTTAGCATACATAAATTTATTAATTATATATTATAGTTTTATCAAAAGAATTACGAAGATTATTCTAGAGATTCAATAGTTCTACAAGTTATCTACTTTCGGTTATATAAACCAAAATTTAAAATTTTTAAATCGACTTTACATTTTTTTTATTGCGTGACTTTTTTTATCAAATGGTTTCATGATTATATATTATAGCATGTATCGTAAATTGCGTTAAATATCATTAAGAAATTTTGACAGACAGTGCTAAAACTAAATAGAATATACATAAGCACACTTTTCTGGTATCGCATTGGCTAGCATAACGTAACCTAACCACACTTTTCCACTTAGTTCTAATTAGTGCTTATGGAATGTTTCTGCACTTGTCAATCGAACAGCCGATTATGCCTAATATCATTTCTCACTACGTTTCATTTATAGAGGTTGCATTACCACTGTTCGAAATCTTAACTATTAATAAGGAAAAATCAAGCATAGGGCGCTTCGCAGCACAACACCCGACCCTGGGTTCCGGCGAGCGGAACTTCGGCGAAAAGGTTCTTTACAATGGATGTAACTACATATTTTATAACTATGTACAACTATAACTACTTTAACTTAAACAAGTGGGTTTTATTTCACATATTTATTAAATTAATAATCCAGTTGCAGAAAGAGTCGTATGTAAATTTATTTTAATTATATTAGTGAAAGGTGATAAATTTTGGTTTAGTTTTCCTTAACTTTCGTTGGTGCTGCAATATAAAAAATATGTTTTTGATTACTTAGAAATGTACAAATGTTACTTTATCTAGAATATATTGGAAGCTCACCATTCAACAGCAGTTAAAAGCTAACTACAACATGACGGCATCGAACCAATTATTGCCTAGTACCCTTTTCATTGCCAGATAAATCCAAACGGTCAGTCTTCATTGCAGCCAATGAAGCGTTTGCTGCTTGACGAACATGGGCAGCTGCAATACGTTCAGCTTTTAAGATGGTGAAAGACTGCTCTTGATCACAACCATCAGCGCCTTTTTCATTTGAGAACTGGCGAGAATTTATACCGTACTTGACTACATCAGCATACGACATTGGTTTCTTTCCGTCCATGATACTAAAATCTTTGGAAATTTATTGAATAAAAATTTAATTTTATTTAGCAACACGTTTCGTATAATTTTTATACGAAAAATACGGAACAACAAATTTTTTAAAGAACAGAGAAAATTTTGATGTTATTTGACAAGTTTGAAAAGAGTGAAACGAATATATAATGCAAATGTAACTATGTTTCATATTAATTATTTATTCGTCCTTTTTTCTTTTGTATGCATAATGTGTGTAACATGATTGATTTTGATTTTAATTTACAAATTGAGTAATATTATAATTAACTATATTATAATAATAATATAATAGTAATAATAGTTATAATAGTAATTATAATTACTATTATAATTACAAATAAATAATATTATTATTATTACTATATAAAATAGTAATATAATTTAGAAATATTAGTTAAAGAGTTATTAAATAATTCAGTTTTATATATGTTTCAAAGTCAATGGAAAAGAGTTTTAGTAATAATAATGTGATCTATATATTTAAGAAGAACTATGTAAATGTAAATGCAGAGCATAAATTGACTAATCAATATCCCTTTTTTTTAAAAAATAAATATGTAAACTTAAATGCCGAGTATATACTGACTAATCAATATCCTATTATGTATAGTTAGCTCAAAAATTTACTTGATTTAATTTAAAAAAAAAATTCACATTTCAAATTTTCAAATTACCCCTCTTCCATTAAAATGGTTTTGTTGCAAATCTCACTTTTAAACAAACAGACTTTACAATCTACTAAAAATAGGTCATTATTAAAATATCGAAAAAATTTATAAAAAGCCCAACTTTTCTACAGAACTGGAGAGCGCCACCTACTACGGTTAATATTTCTAAGATGTAATCGCAGCTCAACCGAATTAAATGGGCGAGCAAGAAATCATATTATTGCTGAATAAATAATAATAAATTTATATGATTGATTAATAAAGTTATTACATATTACTGGCTAGCCATCTTAAAATTAGACGCGATTCACTTAGACCACATTGTGATGCCATCATTTTAGGAATACTAAAACAGCTTCTACACCGCAATGTTTTAATAAAACGAACAATATTCATCTTCATAACACCCATATTTGCAATATCGGACAGACGCTGGAGAAAGTGGGACCTTAAATTAGATAAATCTTAACTGGTGAGTACCAATCAGAAGTAAAGTAGTCAAATTTTCTTCGTGAACCTCTGAGCTACAGCAACGGGAGCTCCCATTGAAAACTGCAGCTACCTAGTCCGGGTTCTTGCCAAATGTCCCAACAATATAATGCATGGTGGGCCAATAAATGTTTAAACTAAATTTTAATTAAATATTTATGCTGTTCTATTATATTTAGAGACAGCTCATGAAAAGATGTGGTTTGACATGCCTGCTTTTCAAACTATTTTGAAAAATTCTGTTAATATAAACTAAATAATATGTAACAATTACCTGAAGAGCCAATCAAGTTACTAAATTTGCAAACACCAACTTAAAGAATCTTAAATGAGAAAAGTTTATTTTTCATAATTGAATTAAAAAATATATTATTTCGTTATACTTATATTTCAACTGGAACTTGTACTATTTTTATGAAATGTTTATTTCTGCAATAATGAACTTTTAAAAAAATGAGACTTTTGAATGCGGTTCTGCGAGGCCAAAAGATTTCGTTAAATTTTAAACTACATTTTTTTTCAAGAAATAAATTATAACTAGTAATTTTTACTAGAAATTTGAAATGCTTAACTACAAAAATTTCAAAGCTAGTGATGTTGAAAAATGTTACCCAAAAATGTTGAAAAATGTTGCTATATTTATTATCTGTATACTGTTATATATTAAAGAAATGCATATACCTAAAGTGCTATCTGGCTTCCTAAGGGCCATGTTATGTAGAGCGTTTTAGGCACGGTAAAATTGGGTCTTTCGGGCTATGCCGAAAATGCATGTTATGTAGACTGTCAAATCAGTATTACCAATTACATATTTTTACTACTACTTTAGTAATAGTAAATTTAAAAGAAAATTTTTGCCTTAATTTAAAAGTGAATATAGATGTGCTCACTTTCAGTTTGTCACTAAAAATAACCAGCAAGAAGAAACTCATAGATGCTGTAGTACTGTTAATTTATTATTATATAATCTTATAATAATTGTTAACAGTATTTACAAATTTATACGTCTTTCCTTAAAATCGGAAAGTGTAATAATTAAATTATTAGCAGTTAATCAAATAGGCTGTGTTGCTTACTGCCATTTTTTCTCCAAAACATACTGTAATTGGAGTGATTGGCTTCAAAAAGGCACAAATTCTGAAATTTATTACTAAACAACACTGTTTTGCCTTAGTGCCAAGGCACAAATACACCACTTCTCATGCCGGAATTTGAACCGACATATTGTTTTTTCTTTCAATTTCAATTTTTTTATTTGCATTGAAAACAACAACAATATTACTCATGCCATGCCCAAGACACTCTATATAACATACCCGTAAGTAGAGAACTCAGAAGCATTGTTATAATAATACAAGAAGATTTTTTTAAAAATACATATTTTGTTAATATATCGGTAAAGCAGTAATAGTTGAAAAATAAAATTGAACCGAAGGACTTGTATTTGGTGAATTTTTAATTATTGGTATGACATGCAAACAACACCTTCTGCTCAAAAAGTACTCGGATTTTGTAAATAACAAACATAAATTTAAATTTTATTCCAAATTTATTTTATCTCCTTCAAAATAAAATACGCTTAGCCCAATCTTCCATACAATTTTCGTAGGCCCGTGAAGGTATAGCTTTTAGTTCCTTCAGCGAATTTTCTTTTACCGATTCAATCGACTCAAAACACTTACCACGAAGGAGCAATTTGAGTTTCGGGAACAGGAAAAAGTCTCATGGATCCAGATCTGGCGCATATGGTGCCTGAGCGATGACAGTGGTGCCGTGTTTGGTCAAAAAATCGCGTACAATAAAAATTTTCCATAGTAAAAATCGCTAAATGCACTTGAGGTAGTCTCACATTAACAACTGCTATAAACAAACTAATTGACAACAAACTAATTAAAAAAAAAAAATGTTTGAAAAGAGTCTATTACTTAAGGAGTAGTTAACAAATAACAAAAGCCGGATACTTTTTGAGCAGAAGGTACTCTCCTACGAGTAGTTGTTCCTAAAATAGGAAAATTTCATTCTTTAAATCGTATGCCATAATCGCAGTAGAAACTCCATTTTTTAAACATTATTTACTTCCAGCATTGCTTAAGGCGATGTAGTGAGGGTATAAACATTAAGATGAATATGGTCCCATGAGGGTGGAGATCTGGATGGCAACACAAATGAAAAAATTGATTAAGCTCTTATATTCTGGGATAGAGCTGGATGCAAAAATAACGGTTTTGATAAGGACATAAAATAAGATTGCGGTATTGCGTTATAATATAAGTTGTAAGATTGAGACAGATGTCATTAAAATCCATCTCCGTTTAACTAACAGTAAGAAAATTCCAGTTAGTTTCCTTTCATTGTTTAAGCTCTTCTAAAAAAGTGAATTTATTTTTTTAATCATCCATAAACATTTTGAAAGTGTTTATGAATTCATAAATATACGCGCGTATATATTACCATAAAAGCATGTAAAATATTTTTATTATCACAATAAAGTTCACATCTTATTTATAATGGAAATTAAAATTTAAAACACTGAAGTCATAAAATAAATTTGCCTCCAAAAGCGAAAATGAAATTAATTTTGATTACGCCAAAAAGTGAAATAAAATCAATTAACCGCAGAATATCGGTCGTAAACTAGCTTCGATATAAAATATTCCATAAAGAGAAATACCCAATTTCAACGGAGAACTTTGAGCCTTCGAAAATATTGGAATTCCACACTTTTGTGCACTTTGATGAAATTTTAAATATTAAACATTGAATTTGGTAAAAATTTCATAAATATTTTTAATTAATTTCGCTTTTGCCAGTTTATTAATTCGTTAAATTCGCTTTGGCAGCAAACTGTTAAAACGAATTATTTAATATTATCCTTTTAAAAATTTGTTTTAAAATTTTCAAATAAAATACTATATTATTAAAAAATCAGATCATAATTAATTATTTTACAGACTTTTACATGGAAATTTATTTTTGAAATTTCTTATAATAAAATATTATAGCCCATGTTGTGCAAAAAAGTCATGGGCACGTCAAAATTTAAATTGTTTCTGCTCTCAATGCAAATTTAGGAATTGAAAGTGAGAAAAAAATAAAATGTCGGCTTAAATTTGGTCGCGATGACAAGGATTTGTGTGTCTCGTCACGTTAGTCAAACCAATGTTGCTTTGCGCGTTTTCAGAGCAAATTATTACAATCAATACATTTTCCGAAAATAATTATGAACCGTTAATAATCAATTTCTTACACTTTCCAATTTTAAGGAAAGACGTATAATTTTGTAAAGAGTGTTAACAATTCTTATAAGAAAATATAATAATAAACTAATGCTTTTACAGTTTGAATCAAGTTATTTAGAGTTGTTCATAACTGGTGACAAATTGATATTGAGCATACACACATTTCCTTTTAAATTTAGGCACCACTAGAAAGTACAAAACTAGTAGTATAGGTATACACGAAAGTGACAATACTCTCTGCACAATATGCATTAGTCATGACCAAAAATAGTCAATTTTGACGCCCACCTAATTTTCGACATAAAATGAGCCTATTAATGAAATAATATCACATAAGGGTATATTTAAAATTTTATAAGAGGTGCGGATAAATTATACTAAATAGGATTATTCATATCCTTGTGGTTATGAGTGGAAATACAAATAAGATACACTTTCTTTTAAATTTTTATATTAGTACATTCCTTGGACCTTGGTATTGGATGTAAACTAAACTATCGTTCAAATGTCCTTCCTTCACAGTCTATATTACAGTACTGGAACCTTTTAGGATTATATTTGATGTTTTATCGACATATTTCTGATAATTGCTCGACTATAATTAGACAGATGTTTGCTAAATAGATGTTGATTAAATTTTTCGTTGAGAGCAATGATTCTCAATTTTTGTTCTTGAAAAGTGAAGATAAATTTAATAAATGCGACAAATGCACATCTTGTTTGCTTGAATATATATATTTTTATACTCTGTAATTAATCACTTAATGACTATTTTGCGATCATAATGGAAAAAATTATTTTATTTTACACTAAAACTTATTATCAAAACTATTTTACATAGTATATTTATTTATAAGTAAAATTTTTTTTATTCTATTGTTAGTAATCTGCAATAGAAAATACAGGTTGATAATTAATGATGTAGAGCGTTGTCAAAGATATTCAAATTCTCGAAATTTTGGTCAGTCAAGAACTCAATTAATTTAAAATAATTACAATTTTTTGTTCTTCCAATTCAGTATTATTTAAAAATTCTTTATTAAATAACAATAGTTTTTACTAAATAAAATAGTCATTACCGTCATAACTCTTTTTAAAATTAATAAAAAAGAAAATTATAAATGAGACAGTACTAGAAAATGTTTAAAATTTTATTAATTTTCAAAAGCATTTCACCGAAATATTTCAGTTAGAAATAAAAAATATAATAAAACATTTATTTTTTGTAAAAAGTTTTGTAAAATTAGTCACATTTTGGAATATCTTCTTCTTCTTTTTTCTTACTACATTCATGGTAAAAGTACATTGCTAGAAACTTCAAAGGGTCACTTGGACGAAGCATATGCATTTCAGCTAAAGCGTTTATCATAGTCCGTCCCATTACCTCTTTCATTTCCGCAATCATTTCTTGAAGCCAAATTTCATCTTTAACTGTTCAGAAATTTATTTAAAGAAATTTTTTTCATTTATTATAATAATTTAATAAATAATTTTATATTTGTTATATGTTTTGGTTGTTGATATATTATAAGAACCTATATTTGATTTTTAACAATTATTATAAGTCTACTTATTAATAAGGTTTGCACTTAGAGTAAGTTCCAATTATTTCATGATTTCTTTATATTTTTTCGAAGTATAGTAATTATTTAAGCGGACCGAATGGATTATTTGACTCAGTACCTACGTGAGATATGGGTCAAATAAAGTATATTAAAAAAAATCTGGTGATGGGAGATATAATAAAAAATTAAATAAATGAAATTATGAACAACGTATTGAACATTAAGAAATTGATCAAAATTAAAATTAGTAATAAACTATGAACATGTCTGATAACAGAAAAACATAATGCGTGCATTGAGACAAGTTGTATATAAACACCAAGTTTTGTTCTGATATATCGGAATTGAAAAATATATTTATATGTTTGTAAAATTTTCATCTATTAATATTTCTTATATAAACATGAAATATTAAAGTTTCATTTATCGTCCATACTGCACAATTTTTCACTTCTTTACTACTTCCTTCGTTGTAATTTCTTATACATCATCATAAAACTACATAAAATTACAAACGAAACTCTCGTGTGAATCCAATATTACGTACTTGGAAAATCTGTGTATTTGTGTATTTCCTTACATAAAGCTGTCAGGTATCAAGACAAAAATGTCCAGTTTTTCCAGACTTGCTATCTAAAGTAGTGTTTACTTCATGTTGTTATTTTGCGATATGCTTGCAAAAGAATACGCCTAATGTTATTTTCTGAGTATTCGAAATTCAAGGCAATTTAAAACAAAATTTGTGTGTTTTATACATAAAACCCCCAACCATAAAAGAGTAAAAGTGCGCAATAGCACTAACTCAAACCACAACAATAACAGCAACAAAAATAAATCTTATGTAAAACACAAAGAAAATTAATAACATATACTAAAAAAATGAAGAGCAAAAAAAAAAAGAAAAAAATACTATAAATTTGTATCATCACTTACCTGGTGGCATCCAATCAAAAAGATCAAAGGGGTCTTCTTCGCAAAATACAGGAACATCACGTTTAGCAAGCTCCTCGAAAAAACTTCTTAATCTGTATTCGACCGATTTAGTAAAATTCACTTCTTCATCGAATGAAATTTCTAGAGCCGATACTCTTCGTTTATATGAACAAATTTTTTCAACTTCAGTAGCCATTACTGCATTACACTTTAAGCACTCCAACGTCTCAGCATAGGATTTCTTTAGTTTGATCTTTAAAGCAAGCAGTTCCTTAACACAGTTCTCAGCACAAGCTAATATAGATTCACGTGCTTCTTGAAGCTTCTCCATACGTTTTCTAGAACATTCAATTACCTCATTGAGTGCTCTCATTTGAGATTCAAACTCATCATTTGGTTCTATACATGAAATTGCATCAGTGCGTGTTGCTTGCGCACTCTCAACAATTTGTTCCACACGTTTTTGCAATTCCTTCCGAAGGTTGATCAAGTCGCCATTAAGTCTATGCACATCATAATCTTGGCAGACTAGCGCATCCAAAACTTTGCGCAAGTTCAGTTTATTCTGATTGTAGCACTCTTCTATATCAGGCATGATAAAAGGATTAGAAAAGCGAATTTATAAAAATTTTAGTTTGAATTTATTACTGCGTTTAATATTGAAAATACGAATTTCTTTTTATGTTTTATATGACAAAATTTTTTATTATTTTTAGCATACTTGGATTAAGGAAAAATAAAGTTCAAATATCTTGCAGTTATTTGCTGAAACTTTCGATCAGTATTTACGACTTTTGCATATATTCCAGCTATACTTATCCTTGGTGAAAACCGTATTTACCAATATTTCTCATATAGTGTTATAAAAAATTCCTTTAGCCTCCTCCTCTAGAACATTTGCTGCTAATGTCGAGAAGGGAAGGGAGTTCAGTTATATTGCAAATCGAACGATCTCTTCTTAGTAGAAGTAGACAATTTTCATATTATGATCTTTCTTATATACACATGAGAGATATGAGAGAAAGTAGTAGCAGAAATCAGTCACTCTTCAATCGTCGATGAGTTAAGTCACAAATAGAAGACGTGTTGCTAATTTTCCGTTGTTCTTTTTCGTTTACAGTAGTACGGGATCTCCAGAGTGGTACTGATTCAACAAACATATTTTACATGTACCGAAACATTATTAATAATTCAATATACCTTTAACAAAAATAATTATATTTAATAAAGTATAATTTACATACATAGATGTATTAGTAGTGGAACAATACTGGAAATATGTAATGACACATAATACGTTTTCTAGGAGGAGTAGCAAGAGGTATAGTTTTTGTTTTATTTTAAATTTTCTCCATTTCCCATTTAACAATTAAAGGGAGGTGTACGCCTCCCATTGAGCAATAAAGCACGTGTAGTCATGTGACATATTCATCCACCCATTTATGTTCTGAACTTTTTGTTTATTGAAATTAAATAACTAAATGCAACCATTTTTAAGAAACTGTTTATTTGACCTACATTGCGTATGAGTAATTCCTAAAAATGTTATTTATATAAAGATTTGTTTATCTTACTTACACTTTTAATTGTTTAACATATCCATATGCTTATCTTTTCATTTCTAGTTTTATATGTCCTTATTATCATTTGTTGGTAAAGGTGCAATTTGACAATTTCCTACTGCGTGTACACAACCTGTCACTTCGCTCCTCTTTTCAAACCCAGCATCAAATAAGAAAAATGATTTTGACGGACATTACTTTCATGCTGTCAACGGAATTCCGTTGGTTTGTTCTATTTTTCTTCACATATATTATGTGTTCTAAGATCGTAATTTATATTCATTAAGTTGTCTCACATTGAAAGCAGCGAGAATAACAAGATACATACGAGTATGCACATCCTGTGGTATAAAATACTCAGCACGCTGACGTCCCACTTCCTAGTTTATTTGTATTTTGTTATCCGAGCGAAAAATTGCAATAAAAGCAAAGAAACAGCGAACAGATACCGCAAAATGAGGGAGCACAGAAAAAACTATCGAGATAAATTGTACGCATTTAACTTCATTGTTGTCATCAAGGACAAGATGCTTCAATTCTTCATAGCAAACTTGCATAAATACTGATAAATTCATAAAAATACATGCTTCACTATGCTTGAATATGAAATTATTTAAATATTTATGTGTGTTTGAATATTTCGTATGTTTAATGCTCATAAAATATGTTAAAAATAAATCCAAATTTATTTAATATTTAATTTATTATATGAATTTGTTCAATGTATTATGGATTGAAAGAGCAAACATACTGTTTTTATATTGAAAATATTTTTGGAATATCATACTAAAGGACTCTTACTCAGCTATAGAATAAGATGTTAGTTATACTTTTAATATAGATAAATTGTAACTTTATCGGTAGTCATTTGAGTCTTAGTGTTAGTATTTGTTAAGGTTAACTATAGTCTTTTCATTTATTAGTAATAAATTTGGCAATCAACGCTGACATATCTACAAAAAAACCAATAGATCTTTTCAAAGTCTATTAATAATATACTTCTCTCAAAATTCGAAACAACTGGTCAGCTAATGAAATGGAACTGAATGAAATTAAAAAAAATATTGTGGATTTGAAAATTTCCTCAGTTTTACCACGTTTTCTCAAATTCACTACATTTCTTGCTATACCACCAAAATAGTTTTTAATTAAAGATAATCTTTAAATGGAAGGCAATCAACACGAATGTAAAGCTTTTGTATATTTTTTATAATCTTAGTTCCAATTGAATATGAGCGAATTGAATTTAAATTGTTTTAACACTATACAACAAAGTTAACCACGCAGGTAGATAGAACTGACCTGCCTAGACTAGTCATAGATATGATAGCTCTTACTAAAGAGTTGATTGTACCAAATCAAACGTATATACTTAGACAATCTACAAAGACATCTACTATTAAGTTCTATCAAACTACTCTTCAACAAAATTAAGATTAGTGGATTTTTTTTTGCATATCACAAAGATTTGAATTATTTTAACTTGATTTAAATCATTGTTAAATTGTGTCTCCATTTAGTTTTTAAATTAGATAAGTGTGGGTAACTCATTAGTACAAATTCTAGAAGTTTTAGATTGAAACTGTTTTAGTACTCCTACTATTCATATAGCTGTTGTTCTTCAAAAGTCAGTACCATAACTTTAATTCAGTCTTAAGGTCGGTGACATTTTCGATTCACATATTACTTAAATTAATATTCAAGTTTTATCAGAACAGTTAAAGATCGCCCAAGAAATAATCTGGAACCATTTGCATAAGGTTGGATACAAAAAGAAATTCGATGTACGATGCACACAAATTGGCCTCTGTGAATCTTTGAGAATCGGTTAGTGACTGGTGACAAAAAGTAGATCAGGATCACTTCCGAAAACGTCAAGCGAAAACGATCGTGGTCGAAACGCGGTGCGTCGGTTGAAACGATGACCAAGTCAGGATTAAGGATTCAAGAAGGTTTTGCTATATGTTTGGTGAGATTGACAGAGAATCATCTACTATGAGCTGCTTCCCTACAACAAAGCTCTTAATTCGGAACTGTACTGTCAACAATTGGACCGTCTGAAGGAGGTAATAACTTAGAAATGGACAGCTTTGGGCAATAGAAGAGTAATCTTGTTCAATCAGGACAATGTCAGGCAACACACATCGATACTGGCTTACCAAAGGCTACACGAGTTCTGTTGGAAAGTTTTTATGCATTCACCTTATAGTTCAGAGTTGGCATTAAGTGATTACGTGTTGCAGTCCATGGCAAACGATTTTTCTGATGAAAAACTCGCTTTAAAAAAGACTTTTCAAAATCGATTGTATTAATTTCTTAATTTTTTGCCGATTGGGGCGAGAACTTCTATTATAGAGGAATATTGAGATTACCCTGAAAATGGGTACAAACTATCGAATAAAACAGCATATTTTTGACTTAAATCGGATCATTCAAACTGTGGTAAATAAACATTCAATTTCATGCAAAAATTATGGATTTCTTTTTACTACTTCGATTATGACAAATCAAAGCAATAATCCAATTTTAACTTCAAGTTCAAGTAGGAAACAATGTTTTTAATCACTTAATATATGATTGCAGTATTTTAAGGTTTCGTTCTAAAAATACTGTACCTTACCGATATAAGAATTTTTGAGTTTTTAAAAATGGTATTAAAAGTAACAATATTTGTCGATGAGTGCAAAGAAATGAAAATAATTTAATTTAATATTATTTAAGTAATACTACGAACTTTATACTAACTTTAATATTATTATAATACTGTTATATTAACATATAATTTATTGTATTCATTTATGTATAGTCTTATTAAGAATTGCAGATCTTAACGGTCTCAAATCCTACTTACGATAGTATTGCCCTTTACATTCTGATATTAAATTCTACTCAATTTAACTAGAACTATTCACGTACTTTTATAAAAGAAAATGTAATTAAATAGTTACTTTCCAATTGTACGCTTACATGTTCATGTAACAAGGATTACATAGCTTAGTCAAATAAGAGCAAATGTGACCTAAGAAATTTCCCCGATGGACCATTTATACCATCAAGTAAACACATTTAATTAAGAAATCCAAAACTTAACATTTTTATTTGATTTACGTCAATTTCCATTTACCAGCAACAATTACATTAACAAGTTCTGCAAACATTACGTCAAGTTAGCAGCAAATGTATATATTTTATTTCCTGAGATTGCAATACACACTAAATGGAATTTTCAGGATTCTCCTTGCTTTTGTTTTAATTTATCCTGCTTTTCGTTTATATATTTTTCTTAGAGTTTAGCTTAAATGGCACTTGTGCTTTTATCTGGTTGTCTGTATTAGGTACTCACTCTTACACACTGCACAATTTTGTATCTTGTTTGTGTGCAGTATCTCAACTTTAACATCATTTGCAAATGAGCACCGGCAGCAATTACACACACACATACACGCTAAACATTCTGTATAGACAGACAAGTACGGATAAAGCAATGGCCATAATATATGACTCGCTATTACTGCAGCAACTGAAGTTGAATACTGCGAGCAGTTAATTTTATTTCGGTATGGAGTCTAGTACGAGTATCTTTAAGCCAAATCTTAATGAAGTCCTTTTCGTTGCTTCCAATCGCAGTGAAAAAGCGGATATTTTAAATTGCCAGATAAATGCAAACCTGATTTTTATTTTATGTCAATTGCATTCAAAGTGAACAGTTGAAAGCAAAGCTCAACTTCAGATATATATGCTAATGGAATTTCAACAAGAAAGATGTCACTGCGATGACGTGGCACTGCAAGTGAAGTCAAAATATGAGCAGTTGCCAAAGCAATTATTTCTAATTAAACCAAACTCAATTTAGACACATTTCAAAAATTTTTCTTCTATTTCTGCTTTGACAAGAAAACATGAAAAGTAAAAAAAAAGTGATTAAAATCCATCTTTAACTGTCATTTGTCAAGAAGAATTATGACATTTATTTATTGTTTTTTTGTTCTTTTTTTTGAGCTCTGATCAAACAATTTATTTGGATTTTATTTGGTTCTGCTTCTCGGCAAAACAAAAGAAAACTCTTGCACACCGCAACGTAACA